CCCGTCCTCCCAACCACACGAAAAAAAGTTAATTGTAGTGCAAAGTGCAAGTGAAGAGTTGGGTAGAGGGTGATGGTTGTGGTCAAGGTATGATAGGAGAGTGACAAGGGGGATAATATGGAGTTCTTGTGTGTGTGAAAAAGTGTCGTTGTGTGCATATGTACATGATGTACTTATGAGTTTATGTTTGTGTTTGTGTTTGTGTTTGTGTGCTCACGCGCGTGTGTGTGTGTGTGTGTGTGTGTGTGTGTGTGTGTGTGTTTGTGTGTTTGTGTGTATGTGTGTATGTGTGTGCGTGTGTATGTGTGTGTGTGTTGTGTTTGTTTGTAGGCAGATGTGTGAGGGGGGTGGGGGTGGGGAGACGTCTTTGAAATTTGGCTCGTCGTTAACAGTGAGTGTTTGGTGGGATCCCAAGTTCCAAATCCCCTTGGATTCTTTATTATTGAGTTTTTCTGTTACCGGGTTCTTGACAATCCCAAAACATGTACATTGGAGCTGCATGTCAGTGGTTCCATTATGGGCAGGACTGTTTAAATGTTGGCCAACTGTCGTGGAGGGATTTTTCTGCACAGAATGTCTAAGGTTATTAAATCTAGCTCTAAGGGTGGTGATGGTTTGACCCTCATACTGGGCTGAACAGACTTTACATGTAATATGATAGACAATGTTTTTAGTTTCTTCTTCATCATCATCATCATCATCATCATCATCATCATCATCATCATCATCATCATCATCATCGTCATCGTCATCGTCATCGTCATCGTCATCGTCATCGTCATCATCATCATCATCATCATCATCATCATCATCATCATCATCATCATCATCATCATCATCATCAAGTTTGTCCGGAGTTTTGTTCTGAAAGAATGCGTCCAATCTTACACTAGCAAAGTTTCCTTCTGATTCATATCCATCCCAGCTGAAATTCCCCCCTCCCCCCCCCCCCCCGCAAAGTCTCCGTTATTCTCTGTTCTCACCAAAACAGCTTTGTCGGAAAATAGGAATATGGCCATGGTGACGATACTTGTGAATTTGATGATTGAAGTCTTTAAAAAAAAAACACCAAAAAAACTTAAGATACACGTTTACGTCTATGAAAGTCCATTTAGAAAGGACAACTTTGAAATTTGATGGATACTCGAATGGTTTAAGTTTATTTGTAAGTTTCTTCAAAATATCACAATTTTGTTGGATATTTTAACTGGCTCAGTATTCTTAATCTCACTTTACATCTCTCTTCATCGTGTACTCCAATATGGTTTTTGTATTGTTCAGGTAAGCGATATATATCGTGAAAGATTTCTTGTCGCCCCTTCCTCATTATGAGCTCTCTCATCCAATCCCCACCTCCTCAAAGTCAGTTGTTTTCTTTTCTTTGTTCCTCAGGCTTCCTTTCTTCCTTAAGCATGGTCCTTTCTTGAGATAGGTTTGCCTCAGAAAAAAACCCCTTCCTATCTCCTCCACCCTAGCGGTAACCTCGTTTTCCTACCCCCCTTGTGTTCTACAACTTTCTCTCAAGCGGCCTTGCCCTTGGGTCATCCCCCGCCTTTCCGTCATGCGGCGACAGTCCTGGCTCGAGCAGCCCATCAACTTCGATGCCCTGGCAGACGACAGTTTGCCCGTGTTCCATTGCCACACCCTGGCACCCCAGCTCCTGGATCAGGCCCAGGAGAACAACAATGACGTCACAGAGCTGGTGCAAACATCTCGTCAACAGTCGGGCGCAGAAGTAGACAACTTCCCCAATCCCGACACGCCATACTCGGATATCTCTGGATACCCAGAAACGCCCTTCTTTGAGCACAATCCACCTGAAGAATTGGAAATTCCCGTTTTACAGCGCGAGTTTCAAAATGTCAAAGCTGATAATGCTGATTGTGATGAGTGTCATTACAACCCCAGCAGTGTGTCTAGTTTCACACACGGCAGGATCGATAATTTTGCTGACGAATTCTCCAACGGCATGCACAGAATCGAGAGCGTGGCAAGCACGTCCCTTTCAGAGGAGTCAATGTTCCAGGACTCATTCAGCGCATACCTACCCAACATGTCTCTTGACAATATGCAAGCTACCACTCCAGAGCCCGGAGAAGGTTGTAGAATTGGGCGCTCTGTCCGTAAACATGGAAACCAAGGTGATTTGGGTGGTCATGATGATGGTGATGATGATGACGATGAAGATGAGCACAGTTATCGGTATGGTTCCGAGTCATGTTCAAGCCTACCACACGCTGAGGCCTACACCAGCATGCAGCAGATGAATGACATGCAGCCACACAACTTCCTGCTTGAAGAAGAGGATGGGTCCTTCACGTCCTCTTTTTCTGGAGCTGCTGGGATGCAAACTCCTAGTCGTAACATTAACGAAGATGTCCCCACACAAGACCTGATCAGACAAATCGGAACGTTGATGGGACTGCTCCGAAAAAGAAAAGCTAAACAGGGAAGCGAACAAAATAACATAAATACTCCTTCAACGTCTGGGGAAGCGAGGCAGAAGCGTGCTAGATCTACAGGGCCGAAAGAAGGGCTTCCGAATAGGGTGGACAAACGGAGTGCTTCGACTAGTGGCAATGCTATGAAAGCCCAACCTTTTCCTACCACTGCTACTGCTACAGTAACCAGACAGACGCCAATGTCGATGCTGCAACAGGTCGATGCTGAGCCTCAAAGACAAAGCTTGTCCCAAATGAGTTTGATCAACAACCCTACCTTCTTTGAGTTGCCTTTTATCTTACCACAAATGAAACGAGAAGCAACAATTGCTGATTCTCAAACACGCCCTGATTTCGCGACCCCAGCCCCGAGTACCAGCGGACGAACCCGCCACTCAAGTCTCCCTGAAGCCGGACCTTCCGGAACTCACCTCACTGCCTTGGCCTTGGACCCTACGAGTCCATTCCTTCAACTGCCACCGACCTCATTGCTTCTTGAACCAGACCCTGTCCCGGTCCTTGACACTGGGACTTTCGGTACCCAGGTGGATTCCAATGGAAATTTCCTGTGCCTGAGCCCCCATGACACCACAGGGCCAAACCCTCGCTCAACAGAAGGGGAGTTCCCGCAAATCCTCGGAGGAATGGGAGGGGAATTCCCCATGGCGCCACAGGAAAGCCCTCAGCAGCTTTTCACAACACGCACCGATGACTTCCATATAGCGCCAGACTCCAGTGCTAACTTAGATATTAATGACATATCTGTTCTCGAAGATGTCTTTGGCTGCCACTTTACAGCAGCCGAGACCCCTTCTGTCCTCAACAACACTGCCCAGACCAGCCGTTGGGCCAGCAGAGCTGTACCTGACAGCAGCGGTCATCTTTTCACCACCACCAACAACTCATCTTCACCTTTACCTTCCCCATCGCTGGAAACCCAAGCGTACAATAGTTTGGGCCAAATGGCGAGTTATGCAGCAAATCCCAGTTTCGACTTTGATACCCCTTCGCCTCACCCGCCTCTACCGCAGAACGGGGACGCAGACAGTTTTATCTCTGGATTACTCATCAACGCGTGGAGTACGACAGACGGTGAGAAGGACCTTCTGTTCAGCCGAGAGAATGGTGGGATCTCAACGCCTCACAACCTCCTCCCATCACAGCCCTGCACGTCTGGGGAAACCAGGAGAAGTCACGGCCACCTTGTTCCTCAGATGGACGACAAAGATGTGGTCCTCTTACAAGATCTGCAACTAGATCAGCTCCTTGAGCAACCGCCACAGAAGCAGAAACAACAACAACAACAACAACAACAACAACAACAACAACAACAACAACAACAGCAGCAACAACAACAACAGCAGCTGCAGTTGCCGGAAGAAGAACACCATCATCATCAGCTGCAGCAACAACAACAGCAACAACAGCAGCAGCATCAGCAGCAGCATCAGGAGAGGCAGTATAACCTAGATCATCTGAGCCTCAACCAGCAGCAATACCAACACAATTTCGACGACAGCTTCACTGACACGTTTCAAAGCTATGCACAACTGGGCTCGTTCATGAATCATGAGCCGACTGACCGGCAAAACACTCACTGCGTGATCCCTGAACACATGCCAGAGTCAAAAGCAACGCCCCAGCTGACCCCATACAGCAGCACCAGCACCAGCACAAACAGCATCAGCACCAGCAACAGTAGCATCAGCACCAGCAACAGTGTCACAAGCAGCAACGAACATGACGGGCTCTCTCGCTCCGAGCCGAGCACATCTTCAGCTACTTCTGAAGAAGGAAAGTTCTTCGAATTCAGTGAACAAACTCGCTCTGTCGAGCAGCAGGAGCCGATACCGTCGACTTCGGGCACCCAGGACGACAAGAAGCAGAGCTCCGGCAAGAAGAGGGGTAAGGGGAGGAGGTCATCGACCCCGATTGACCCTGGCCTTCTGCAGGCCGCCGTGGAGTCCATGGAGACTCGCTCAGTGACCCCTCTGGTCAAGCAGGAGCTGAAGCTGACCATACTGACCAGACGCCACGCCGAGGGAAAGGGAGACATCCAGGTGTCCTTCTCTCCGCCCACACCGACAGAGGTTAGTCAGTATTATTGTTGTTGTTGTTGTTGTTGTTATTGTTGTTGTTGTTATTATTATTATTATTACTATCATTATTGTTGTTTTTGTTTTTGTTGTTGTTGTTGTTGTTATTATTATTATTATTATTATTATTATTATTATTATTATTATTGTTGTTGTTGTTGTTGTTGTTTTTGCTGTTGTTGTTGTTGTTGTTATTGTTGTTTTTGTTGTTGTTGTTGTTGTTGTTGTTCTTCTTCTTCTTCTTCTTCTTCTTCTTCTTCTTCTTCTTCTTCTTCTTCTTCTCCTTCTCCTTCTCCTTCTCCTTCTCCTTCTCATGCGCGTTATTGAATTACATATCTAAATCTAGTAACTACACTATTCAAGCCAACTCTTCATTTGTCCAGAAAACTAGACTAAAACATTCTTTTTTATTAAATAAGGAGAACCAATTTTTTTAAAAATCTTCAGACGTAGCCCTTCTACAAACCAACACAGCATACGTAGACTGCCCACTTTTGTAGTCATTCTTTGAAATTACATTATTCAAATTCTTGATCCAGGTATAGAGCTGAAATTTGGACCTACAAACTTCAAATGATCCACTGACGAGTGTCCGTGAAGTTAGAGAACGAAATGAAGAAAAAAAGATCATAGCTTATTTTCAAACAGCACTGAAATAAAAAATCGAAACAATACAGATGTAAATAATATAATTCCAAATGTAGAATTATATTACCATTGTCATGAAGCTCCATGCACCTAAAACCACACCGATAAACGAAATTATAGATAATGTATGCTAGGGTTCTGCACACCTTTCGTGCCTAACTCCAGCGACTCCCATCTAATTGGCCGGGTTGGCTCCATTTCTTCACTCCCCAAAGCCCTGATGTCAGCGATCTCCTCAGATATCTTTTAGTTGTAGACTCATTCTGAAAGAAAAGGAGTCGGCCTAGAAAAATGGGAGCTAGACCGTTAGAGAATAGCAACAATTCTGTGAAGAGGGGCTCTGAAATTTCCCTTCGTGATGCATTTACTGCAAAGTCAACTTTAAGTTCTCATGACCACCAATGATTTATTCACCGAGGCACCACATCCATGTCCAAGTGCTGTTTTCGCGTCAGCTTTAAATCTCAGCTACTACATCTGGGATTCACATTACCAATGTTGTCTAAAAATACCTTTTGTGTCTTATTGTTCCAGCTAACTGAGGAGGAGAAACAGAAGAGGCAGCACAAGAAGAATCTAAACCGCATCGCCGCTGCCAGCTTTCGGGAGAGGAAGAAGACCAAAAATCAAATCCTCCAGCGGGTAAGTTGAATTGATACTGCTCACATTAAATTAATTGCCATATCATTATGGTCATCAGTTTTTGAAAGACTCCAGCGTATACTATTTGTTACGTCTATATGCATTTAGTCTCGAACATCTAGCTCTCAATAGCAAAATTAAAGGCAAACGAGGCAGGGGTAAGCCCAGAGCAACCTACTTGGGGAACCTAAACAGATGGGTAACGGGGAAAGATAAGGGAAACGTAGCTTTTCTAAGATCATCCGAGCAAAAGAATGAATGGAGAACCATGATCGCCGATATCTGTCGCAGATCTGGCAGTGAAGAGAATGAATGAATGCATTTAGCGCTCTACTGGATCGAAATGTGTAAACTGAAACAAAGATTCCTTGATACAACCTTAGACTTACTTCTTTCCCGTAACATGTCACTTCAGTCTCAATTCTATCTAGGTGGAACGATGTAAATTTAGCACTTATGTGACGATTTGTGTTGCAGGAGCCGCAAACCATTTACTGAAACTATAAAACTATGTAAATCTTCACTGTTTGACGTGTGTCTCTTTCTCTCTCAGTCATCACCGAAAGAACACAAAGCTCTCCGTCTTTCACTAGTAGCGTTCACGTTCAGTTACGTTGTCCATTTCGTCCTCAGGAACAAGACGATCTACAGCGCAGACAAGAAGAACTGCAAGAAACTGTGCGAGAGCAAATTGCAGAGAAAAAAGTGTGGTTAGAACGTCTCTCTTCTATTGGGATTTCGACTCCAGGTCTTTCGGATATTCTTTCCAAGCTTGTCTCCTCAGGATAAAGAACTCTGTACACACCCCTAAAACAGCAGCAAATACAACAGCACCTAAAATATTCTTACCAACAAACCAAACAAACAAACTAACAAACAAACTGCTTCACAAAGGACTGTAAATTGTAAAGTGTGGTGTCTATACAGTATAAAGAGACCTTTCCATTACATACGATACAGTTTCCTTATTATGGAAGAAATAAGCGGGTGCTGCTAGCATTTCATTTTTAGAGCGTTTATGAAGTTGTGAGTATCGTTTTATGAATTCATCGGATGGAATGACTTTTGAATTCATAACAAACATGGATATTCCTGCCGTCATATTTCTGATGTTTTGCAAACGCTGGATGAACACGTACTTCGTTTTGGTGTCTTTATATTTGGTTCTTGTGAAGCATGACACAAGCAATGTTGCTGTTACCTTTGATGATCAATTTCAAACAATATTATATTAGTTTAAGGGAAAGAATGAGAAATACGACATGGACGTTATTTTGTGAATGAGCTTGGTGCTGGTTCTGAGCGGAGACATTAAATTAATATGATGAACCGAAGTGCACAACATTTAGGCAAACACATTCAAAAGTATTTCAACAAGTTTATCGAAATAGCTTTTTTTAACTAGGTTTTTACTAGGACTAGGTTACTAAGATTACGTTTCTTGTGTTCAGTTCTAGTCCTCCCATACATCCACAGTAGTAGAGGCCTCTTCCTCTGAAGCATTACTCTGACCATTGTTTTGTTGATGACCAACGTCCTTTGTCATCTAAATCGTACATAATGTATAATATATAAATGAATAGATATAATGATGCTATGATGCATTGTAAATACATAATATGTAGGCCTATAAATGCCATGCTTGAGAAAGAACGAGCATTTGTTTTTGTAACGAGTTTGATACTTATTTTTCTATCATAATATCACCCCCGCCCCATGTCCTCCCGAAGAAAGCATTCATTTTAAAATGCAAAAAGGAAAAAAATCATAGTGTTGACATGTCACTTTCCGGAACTCCATTCTGTGGCTCTTAGAAACTCTGCTGCGTTGGGATGATTATGTCAAGGTAGCCTAATGAAGGCAAACATTTTGACTGACCTTTGGCATGGGTTTTGGAAACGAATTCAAAGTCATCTCATCAAATCTTCACATATGATATACAGACTGTTTATTCTTATACAGCTACTCATCATTACATTTTGCTACAACTTGTATAGGAATGCCATTATACCTTTTCATGACTTTTGTTGAAACAGTTGATCATCTTGAACTTGACAGATATGCAATAATTTGTATTGTATCTGTTTTTATACTTGCCTCGCTGTGTTGCAACATAATGATAAAGCTCGATCACTACTATCAGTTCAGAAATGTATACTTTTCTCACGGTTCTCTACTATGTGGACTGTTGCAGCCCGACTGTCTTCTTATTCTGGAGCATGGGTATTCTTTCAAAATGCTTTGCTGCCTTCAAAACGTTATATTTTGATAATGACGGTGCCTCCTCTGAAATCAGCTGTATAGATAGCTGCACGTCTTATAGGACAGTGAGTTGATTGCCGCACATCTTTGAAAGAATTTCGTTACATATGCCATGCCGTCTAAGATTACACTCAACTACTGGATGACGCCAATAAGGAGTGAATGGTTTGCTCTTAAACTCTGCGTTCACTGACGTCCTGTAATATTTTCCTGAACTTCGAAGTCAGTTTACGTAGAGGGTAAGGCAGCTCAGTCATTGTTATTTCAATAATACCCTGGCACAATGTCAATAGCATTCAGTCGAAGTGAGTCGTGGCTAGGTAGATTTTCTTCTACGGAGGGACAAAAGCTACTATTTTGGCACAATTTGATTAGATCCTTCAAAATCAAACATTGTTATTTTTGAAGGACTAGATCAAACTGTGCCAAAATGGTTGATTTTGTCTCTCTATGATGGAAAATCCTGGCCTCTCCAACTGCATCAAATGAATCAACGGAATCAAAATTGGCAACAGGCAGTGGGTATACAGTCACTGGTGACATGGATGCAATTTTGTAAGCAGAGAATATTCTTGTCGTGTACAGGGTATACATTAATTTGTTTCCTTTTGAACAGCTGGGTACGAAATACGACGGCAGTTGAACTTCTCGGTTGTCCAGTCTGTTGTGCCATCTGTGTGAACTCTTCAGGCCAGTTTTGGGCTCACCGTGAAAGGGTTAATGGGCACCGTTGTCTTCATGATATACCCACGGTTGTTCCTTTTCGCGGTGAACGGGTTAATTGGCACTGTTGTTCTTCATGATATTACCCAGAGCTTCTCATGATAGCGGTGTAAGGGTTAATTGGCACTGTTGTTCTTCATGATATTACCCAGAGCTTCTCATGATAGCGGTGTAAGGGTTAATGGGCACCGTTGTCTCCATGATATACCCAGAGCTTCTCATGATAGCGGTGTAAGGGTTAATGGGCACGTTGTCTCCATGATATACCCAGAGCTTCTCATGATAGCGATGTAAGGGTTAATGGGCACCGTTGTCTCCATGATATAACCACAGCTGTTTCGGCTAATTGTTACTTGTTATTCTGAGAAATTCTATTACATTGTAGTCAACTGTGAACTGCTCACCCCTCGCGATGCCATAATGTGCTGGCCACGTCTCGACATTCAAGAGACAGTTTCATTTTTTGTTTTTTTTTTATAAAAAAATTTGTTTTTTGTTTGTTTCTTTTCTTTAACATTCTGACGGCAGTGACAGACACAATGTCCTATGATGACGTCATAATTAAAAGGTAGCTGTAAAACATCCATAAGGACTAGGGGGCCGGACTTATGAAAGTGGAAGTTGTGCTGATTAGAACGCGTAAATTTTCACGAAGTTTGTTTCTTTCATTTTGCTTCGGTTATAACTTTCATTTCCGTTTCTTGTTCTTACTGCTTGTGTGTGAGTTTTATGAAATAATCGTGTGATCTTCGTGAAATTAGTAGATCTATGTGGTTTGTGTGGAAAAATCTGTGCGATTTTTTTGTGTGGAACACTTTGACATTTGTGATTTTTGTGGATTAGGTGTGTAGCTTTTGAAAAAAAAATTGTGTTTTCTTTGAAATGCATGTGAGATTTTTGTTAAACACTTATGGTTAACATGTACTTTTGATCATTTTTAAACCTAAAATTTGATATTTACGGACCTAGCAGTCTAAAGATGAAATCTTTTGTTGTCCTTTCACAAACTACCAATATCCATATATTTGTTGATTCATTGTTATTGGAATTATTTTGTTTTGCACTCAACCATTCTTTTTTTTAAATTTCTGATACGTAGAGAAATACTGTAGTATTATGTTGTTGTATGAACGAACAGATGATATTCTATGAAATATCACTGGGTCTATTATTATTGTTATTGCTATTATTATTATTATTATTATTATTATTATTATTATTATTATTATTATTATTATTATTATTATGTACAGTGATTTGCATGCTTTACAGACGCATTCCCTGATAAAATATGTTTGATTATTTTTGTAGTTCAACATACCGCCACCAACACAAACCAAAATGATTGAGTGTTGAATCGATGACGTACAAAATAGGATTGTAACTTTATATTATCATGCCACACCATAAATGTATAGTAGGAGAAGAGATCAGGTTGTGCTTGCTAACATGAGAGATAGGCATTCCTTTCCCACAGGCTCGTTTATCACTGTGCTATCTTAGACGTTGCTAGATCTACTTCGTGCATGGATCCCTTCTGCTGCAGCAGATGAAGTAGTAAGCTAATGAAGTCCTTAGAGTTCGTTGTGAGGTGTTAAGGTGTGAAAAGTATGAATAGAATAGAATGTTGTTTGTGTTTATTAAGTCCCTTCTATTGTGGTTGAGATCACAGGAGTGGTTTTGATATTGATTATCTTGTTGCACGCATCTGTGTGTCATACCATGTGATTCCTTTCATGTTCTGATTGTTTTCAACTTGTTATTTTTGTTGTTGTTGTTGCTGTTGTTGTTGTTGTTGTTGTTGTTGTTGTTGTTGTTGTTGTTGTTGATGTTGATGATGGTGTTGTTGTTGTTTGTTGACATATTTTATGCAGTGAAATGTTTAGGCTCTGACTGTTTTGTTTTGTGCGCCTCCCCTCTCCCCCCCCCCAAATCAGCCCTGTCATTTCCAAACTGCATAAGTCTTCTCCTTTAATGATCAACAGATTATTATTTTTAAACATTGCGATTGGATCTAGCTCCCTGACTCCCTGGCACTGTCCGTGTCTACTGTATTGTAATATACTGTGAGTCGTCGCAAGTTCTGCGCTTCTTGGTACTGACATAATCTTTTTATGTCTTAAACTGTAAAGTTTCGTTGAGATGGGTCAAGCGTTATGTGGCCATTGGTATGTGAAAAGTAGTAAATAGTTGCATGTTTCCATTTTTTTTTCTTCATACGCTCCCCATCTCACCCCCCACCCTTATTCGCGTCAATGTTATTCTTATCAAGTCATGCATTTTATTGAGATGGATCTGGCATTATGTGGCCATTTGTTTGTGTATGGTATATAAAATGCTGTTTATCATTGCATGCTTCGATTTTTTCTTCATATACCCCCCTCTTTGTTCTGTCCATTTTCATCTTTACAAGTTATACATTGATTCCCTGACAGTAGTATCCACCTGTGTGTCATTGATGTTGGTCATAGATATGCCTGGTGTAATTCTGTTCAAGAATTTGCATTTTTTTTCTTTCCCCTTTCGATGCTTAATTGTGATCTCTACGATTGGAACAATCTCCGGTTGGCGACTGTGTTGTCTGTAGTGAATGCTGAATGCAGTTCGTTGGAATTTTGATTGTTGCAGTTCAGGTTTCAAGATGGTGTGACCCTGTGGGTGGTTGGCAGGTGTTCTCATGCAGTTTGCTCCTTTCCCCCCTGACAAACGCCTATATATCGTCCTTATCTCTCTCAGTCTTTGCTTTGTATGTCGTAACATCTCTAATCTTCGGCATTTATATGGCCAGTTTTGTGTTGCAAATACCGCTTAACTCTGACTTAGACTCTTAAAAAACCCAACTATACTTAGGTCTTCTTTTGTGTGACCTCGCTTTGTTTCACACGCCAGGCTGTTCTTACTTTGGTTCAGATTATCTCGTTTCACCAGACTGTGTATCATACCATGTGATTCCTTTCTTGTTCTGATTATCTTAGCTTCAACGGGGTTTTAAAAAAAATCTTGTTTTTGTTTGTTTTTTGTTTTGTTTTTTTTGGTTCCCGTTTTAAGTTGACCTATTTTGTGCACTCTATGAATCATACGATGTGGTTCCTTTTATTTCCTTTTCTGATTATCTTCGACTAGTTTTTTTTTTTTTTTTTTGGGGGGGGGGGGGGTTCTCGTCTTAAGTTGACCTATTTTTATGCAATATCATGTTAGGTCTTACTTATTACCCTTTTTTACGTGATGATAACTGTAGTAGCTCTGTGTCTCTGTCTGCGTCTGTTGGAAAAAGATGCTGTGAATAACTTGGAATGTTTGAATTAATTGTCTGTAAATGGGTTTTTATTTGATGGCCAGTGCACTATTTCGCATCCCCCATGCTTTTCTTTCCTTGTAAATGATTCTTATGATTGCTTCGTTGAACTTGCCCGAAGTGTTTGCTTCTGTTCTTGTTGGTGTTATGAACTCCTGGCTACTCATGAAATAGATGGCATTAACAGAATTACGAGGGCTATAATGTGTGGTGTGTCAAAACACCCTTGACTTATAATTGATATGGTGCATTATTCCGACACAGCCTGGTGCTGAAGAGGGTAAAACCATTATCTGGGCCAAGGCGATGTCCGGATCTAACTCAGTTTGTAATTTTATATAGCGTAACTTCACAGCGCAAGTAAAAAACAAAACAAACAAAACAAAACAAAAACAAACCAAACCAAACACTCAACACGGTACTACTCAGCATCACAGTGCTTTTTTAGTAATAGTAACATAAGATGCTGTGAAATGACCATAATGAAAGGTCCTTTTATATCACCACAGATATTGTTCTATGAACATGTACAATAGACATTGCAAGTGGTTGGCGGGTGTTCTGGTGTGGCTTGCTCCTTCTTTCCCATCAAACGTCTATCTTCTTCATCTCTCCTTCTTTTTTTGGGGGGGTGTTTGTTTGCTCTCTTGTAACTCCTCTTATCTTCGGCACTTATATGAACTTAATATGTTGCAAGTGCCGTAATACTCGTACTAAAACTAAACAGTAGACTTCAGCTATTGTACGCTTGTTACATACAATATGTTTTGAACGAATTTGTATTTGGTTTGATATTGTTTATCCTTTTTGTTTGAATAATTTTCCCCTTTGGAGTAACTGTGACATTGTGGGTTGACACTGATTTTCTTTTGAATTACATGCCACGTGTATTTGTTGATTTTAATTTTCAATCCCTTTGCTGTATTTTTTTTTGTATGATATATCTAGTCTTATTTTTAAACTCCTTTCTGTTCTTTCAAACAAAAATTATTATAACGATCCCTTTTCTGTCTCTGGGCCTAACGTTTTTTCCCGCGGGAAGTTGAGATTGTTTCAAAATGCTATCAGGTCTGCCTGGGTAATAATATTAATATAGATTTTTAGCGTCAAGAACTTGCTATTGGGTGGGAATTTGTACTATATAAATGCAGTTTGTTATTATTATTATTATTATTGTTGTTGTTGTTGTTGTTGTTTATTACTATTATTATGACCAGGATGAGTTTGGAACAGAACAAGAAAGAAAGCAACCAACTGCCAATGTTTAACCCTCTATATACACATATTCCATTTCCATATTCCTTAAATCTTGTCGCTTGACTCCCTACCACGACTCATGTAAATGGTGTTGTGCCACAGGTCACGGTGACTTGACTCAATGGCGGCCATATTTCACCTCAGACATATGATTAGGATGTAGCCAAACTTTTAGTAAGTTAAACAATGTTTGACCACTAACTATCCACTCTATATAATCGGGGTCTACCTAAAAAACCGCAGCAACTAGATTACAGAAAAAAAGAGTTTAAAAAATTAGGGGGAAAGTTGTAAACCTGGCCACGTTTCCCCCCGAATTTCCGGTGTGGTGTACTCTGTCTACTTCTTTCCCGTAGAAAAATTTCCCTCATCTGTTCCATGCGAAATGCGGTGGTTGCTATCCTAGTTCGCCTTCGTAAAGTTCAACTCAGCAACTCCTTTTGGGGTTCACCAAAGATGAAGTAGGATAAAAACATGCGGGCGGTATGATTCCCTTTATTGTGAGAGCTGTCTTTGCGACTCCCTGTGGCTGTGTCTCTCGTGATAGTGAGAAATTGTTTTTTTAAAATTGAAATACACTGTAGTGTCAGGCTTATCAAGTGAGAGTGGAAGGAAAAAAAAATTCAGCTCACAGCCTTTGCTTCCTTTACACAGTCTAGCAGGCAAATTGCGAAAACGCATATAGCGAAATACGTAAGTAGCGAAATACGCACTTAGCGAAACACACATAGCGAACTGATTTTTAGGACCCTACATTTTTCTTATACGTGTAGATTCTTCGTTTTTAAAACACGTGAATAGCGAAATTCGTACACAACGAAAAGATTTCTGCCCCCCCTCCCCGATTTCGCTATGTGCGTGCTAGACTGTATTCTTTCCATAGTGTTGACTCATAATATTCCTGTCCTGAAACTTTCTGGGACATTCTAATGTTGATTGTTATAAAAAGAAATATATTGTTGCATGATGCTCATCAGTCATTCATTTATTACATTTTGATATGTATTTTTTAAAAATCTTATAGGAGGGTTGTTCTGTCTGTTTTAAGAAATGTGAATATAGTACGTGAAGAAGTAATATCTGCCGAGCGTGCCTTTTTGCCCGCTGTGACGCAAACCGTTACTTCCTTTTTTGTAAATATGTATACTTTATAATTATGTACAAGATTGTTTTGATTTACACATAATATACCAATAATTTGGCCATGGTATGCAACAAACTTTGGGGACAGCTAACTCAACGTTAAGTTTTTTTTCCTATTACGTATTATTCATTATTTCTTGATTTAAAAAGGGTTGATCTTTGCAATTAAAA